TCGCCGCTGTCGCGTCCTCCGCCCCGGTGCGGGCCCAGCTGGACTTCACCGGCTACAACCAGGTGAGCGGGCGGTGCCCGTGGGGGCGGGGCAAGCTTCCATACCCCCCCTTTCACCTGGGGGAGGGGGGTGTCCTCAGAGCAGCTCTCTCTTCATCACCCCCTTTCCCCCCCGACAGCTGTACCCTGGCTGTGGGTCCTGCCCTGAGCTCCGCCGTCATGGACGGGACTGGGGGCTGCAGGACTAGCCCCCCAGCTCCCGTCGCTCTAGGCAGCTCCTTGCAGAGGGAGCTGGGGGGCTGCAGAAGGGCCCTGGCACGAAGTGAGGGGAGGGACCCGGTGACTCCTAGTTAACCCTTTCGGTGCCTTCCCGGCAGGCGGCTGCGTTAACCCGTCGTGTCGTGTCTGCTTTCCTCCAGGTGGTGGCGGCGAGTCTGTCGGACCCAGTGGTGGGGGGCTCTGCCCAGGTGGGTGAATGGCTCGGGGCGGGTTCTGGGGTCCAGCGGGGGGAAATCCCAGAGATTCGTGTGTCCCGTCCCCTCCCCGCCCCCGGCATTGCATCGGACGCTCCGAGAGAGCTGGTGTGCGGGGCCCATCTCTGACGTCTAGGGCTCTCCGCCCCCCAGCGCCGACACCCGGCCCCACTGGGCCCGTTCTGGGCCCGCTCACACCAGTGTCCTTCCGTTGGCATGTGAGGAGCTGCTCCTGGCTGGCACCAGTGTCCATGAGAGGAGAATTAGGCCCTGTACCCTCCCACAGCCAGGGAGAGAACCCAGGAGTCCAGGCTTCCAGCCCACCCCCACTCCCAACCCCTAGACCCCACTCCCCTTCCAGAGCTGGGGAGAGAGCCCAGGAGTCCTGACTCCCTGCCCCCGCTCTAACCACTAGACCCCACTCCCCTCCCAGACCTGGGGATAGAACCCAGGCGTCCTGGCTCCCAGCCCCCACATCTAACCCACCAGACAAAATCCCCTGCAGCTGCGAACGCCCTGGCAAGCGAGTGCCTCTCCTTTCCTTCCCCCCGCAGTGTCGCGAGGCCGTGGCCCAGGCCTTCTCCGCCCTGGACCAGAGGCTGCACGCCGGGCGGCTGTCCGAACTGGAGAAGGACTTCCGCTCCTGCGGGCCCCTGACGGAGCCCGACGACCGCGGGGAGCTCGCCAGCAACCTGGCCGACATCTTCATGGGCGCCGTGCAGTACAACAACGAGGGATTCCAGGGCGGCACCGTAGCCAAACTCTGCGGCATCATGACCGACACGGGCCTGGGGTCCCCCTACCAGAAACTCATCGCCATCAATAATGTAAGGCTGTGGGGAGGGGAGGGGGGTCTGGATCCAGCCTGGCTGAGACCCAGTGCGCTCGCTGCACACAGGGGCCAGGGACCGTCACTGCTGAGCCGGGTCGTAGCTCAGGTGGCCTCCAGCTCCTGTTCTCCTCTGTGGGCCGGGCTTCCTGCTTGGACTACATCTCCCATGGTGCACCACAGTCTTGTGGCGGAGAGGTGGTGGCTGCAGTGCATCATGGGAGATGAGGTCTGGCTGGGAAGGCTGGCCCATAGAGGAGAGTGGGGGCATGAGACACTGGAACTACATTTCCCATGATGCACCACAATCTGGGGGAGGAGGAAGGTGGTGCCTCATGGCAGTGGCCTCTGTGCATCATGGGAAATGAAGTTCAGCTGGAAAGTCCAGCCAATAAAGAACAAGGCACCAGAACTACATCTCTCATGATGCACTGTGGCCTGGGGGGGGGGAGGGGAGGAGGTGGTGGCTGCAGTGCATCATGGGAGATGAAGTCCAGCTGGGAAGCCTAGCCCATAGAGAATGAAGCATTGAAACTACATCTCCCATGATGCACCGTGGTGGGGGGCACAGCCCTCCCGAGGGGCTAAAGGAAGGGGGGAGCCAAGTTTCTCCCTGGTCAGCTACAAGCAGAGGGCTCCTGCCCCCTCGCCAGTTTGCTGCGGGCGTCCCCTCCTGTCGATCTGTTATAACAACAAAGGGGGGGCCCTGTCCCATGTGCCAGAGCCGCTGGAGACGGAGCCAGACGGGTCCCTCCCGGGGCCGAGGGGCGGGGGTGGCCCTGGCTGACCCTCCCGTGCGTCTCCTCCCATGGCAGGGGTTCCTGGAGAGCATGGCGCTGCCCTGCATGGAGAACTCGCACCAACGCGCCCTGGCCGAGCTGCGCAGCGCCAACCTGACACTCAGTGGCGTGGGCGAGCGGCAGTGGTACTTTCAGACCTGCACCGAGTTTGGATACTGTAAGCTGGCTATGTGTGTGTGTGTGTGGGGTGTCGGTCCCTCCTGCTGCCCCCCATGCGATCCCCCACCCCAAGGGGCCGGGGCAGAATATGGGGAGAACAAATGGGGCTTAAAGTCCCCCCTCAGTCCCTGCCCCAAGACGGGGCGACTGGAAATGAGGGCGTCAGGCTGGGGAGGTCGAGACGCAGAGCGACCGCGGGGTCCGGCTGTGTCTCACAGCCTTGAGAGAGAATCCCCTTCCCCTTCGTCCCGGCTCCCCTCTCCCCCCGATCGCCCCATTTCTTTGTCCGTCTCGGTGGGGGGCGCACCCCAAAGAGCCACGGTGCTGACGTCTCCCCCCGTCCCCCCTGCTCCAGACCAGACCTGCGAAGACGCCACCTGCCCCTTCTCCCGTCTCCTGACGCTGTCGGCCCAGCTCGACCTCTGCTCCCAGGTGTTTGGCATCGGCCCTGAGCGCGTCGGGGAGGCGGTGACCTTCACCAACGAGTACTACGGGGCCGACCACCCCAAGGCCAGCAGGATCCTCTTTGTGAATGGTATGGATGTGGGGGGCAGCTGGGGAGGGGGCGGTCGGCAAGATCGGGCTCGCGGGCCAGGCCTGGCATCGCCTCCCCGTGCCCTGCCAGAGCTAAGCGCCCTTTCCTCTCGCCCCCGCCCAGGCGACATCGACCCCTGGCATGCCCTGAGCGTCCTGAAGAACCAGTCGCGCTCGGAGCTGGCCATCCTCATCAACGGGACCTCCCACTGCGCCAACATGAACCCCTCCAGGCCCACCGACCCCCTGCCCCTCGTCTTGGCCCGGGAGGTAAGAGCCCAACAGGGACGGAATCGGAACCGACCCAGACTCAAACCCCACAACCTCTTGTTAAGTTCCAGTGACTCCCCCCGGCCCCAGGGCTGCTCTAATGCACGCTCCACCTCATGAAGGCCCCGGGGGGCAGGGAATAGCCAGAGCCAGTGGGCTCCAGCCATGCCCCCGATCTGCCCCCTATGCCAGTGGGTGCAGAGCCGTTATGCCAGGTGGGGGGTGGGGCGGTCCCTGCGTTGGGGGTGGGGGAGTTCTCAGGGGGCTGGTCCCACACCTGAGCGTGAAATGCCCCCCGATGTGCAGGACCTGGGCTTTGAGCTGAGTGTCACCCAAAGCCCCTTGGCAGCATGAGTGGGGTGGGATCTCCGTATCCTGGCGGGGTCCCTCCAGCTCTCTCCCTGTGTCCCCCTCCTCACTTCCACAGCGGATCGACTACCACGTTGGCGACTGGTTGAGCTTGGCAAGGAAGGCGCCTTCGGCCCCCTGAGTCTCCGGGCGTGAAGCCATTCACCCGCCGACGCTGCGCGGACTTCGCCCGCGGAGGGACGCGGCGAGATCTTCCTTCCAGCAGAGATTTACGTTGATTGCCAGCTGGTTGGAGCAGGGGCTAGCTTTCTGCTCGGCATTCGTCCAGCAACCAGCGCAACGGCGCCGCGATGGGGGCTCCCCGCTGCTTCCGCCACACACAACAACTCATGATCCGGGGACAAAGGGGGGGGGGCTGAGAAATCTGCTGCGCTGGGGCCAGCCAAACCCCTGGGAATTTTCTGGGGCCAGTTTCCTCCCCCTGCTGCGTTGGGTTGGATCCTTTAATTCTTTTATCCAATGAAAGATGTTTTTTTTAGACGTTTCTGCGAAGCCGTCAGCTCCTTTGCGGCGAACGAAGCAGGATCAGTCCATTGCTGGGTCTGACTATGTAAATCGTATTGTCTGACAAGGCTCCAACTGCCAGGATCAGGACCAGGGTGTGCAGAGCCCCTAGGGATACCCCGCAGGGCAGGTTCTCGCTGCTTCAGTATGGACCAGGGGACCAGTGTGGGGCCTGCTCCTAAACCTCCTTTGCGCTCCCCATATTCTGGACCCCGTGTCAGTTACAGCAGCCTTGGGGTTGCTCTAGCTTGAACTCCGCCCCCTGGGGGGCAGAGAATAGCCACAGCGCAGTGCGCTCCGGCCACCCTCTCTGCCGGGTCTGGGAGCAGGGTGTGTTCAGGACCGTCACCCCAACTCTACCCCAGCTGGGGGAGCCCCATGTGTCCCTTCCCATAATTCTCGGGCTGTTTCTGCCCCGCTGCAAGAGGAGTGCAGAGGGGCCCAGGCGTGACTGAGAATCACACCCAGTTTCTCATGGAGACATCCTCTCCCATTGCCACCCCCCCAATGTCCCTCTCTGCACCTACCTCTCTGGGCGCAACGGCAGAGCTGGGGACCGGGGGCTCTCCCCTGTAACAGGATGGCAGAACCCAGTCCAGAATCAGGTCTCCCCCGCAGGAGGAAGGGGCTGTGCCCTCCCCCATAGGGAGAGACAGCATGCGCCCCCCCACCAGAAAAAAAAATCTCTCTCCTCTGCCCCTTTACATGGGAGGACAATGCTCTGTGCCCCCCGTTGATTTTTCTTCGCTGCACGTGACTCGTGAGAAAGGCGACGGCAGAAATGCCACGCAAGAAATATCACGTTCGATTCTCTCTCATCCACTCAGTTCCCGGGGCGGGACCAGGTGGGGCAGAACGCGGGCACCACACTCTCCAAACAAATCGGCAAGGCCCAGTTCAGAGAAGTGGCAAGAAGAAAAGAAAAGGACCAACACATTTTATTTGAAAGTGGCGGGGGGTGGGAGGGAACAAAACCCCAAACCAAAGAACACGGTGGGCTCCTTCTCCCTCTCATCCCATCCGTCCATTTCCCCGTCCAAAGTGCCCCGGATAGCTCATAACAGGCCCAGGATCTTTCATCCTACAGGTCCTGTCCATCCCAGTAATGCCCACTCCCTAGGTGGGCCCAGCATGGGTTATATAAAGGGCTTCCCTACCCAGAACCCTTCGTGGAGAAGGGAAGTCCCTCCCCTGCATCTAGGCTATTGACGGTTCATCTAGCCAATCAGCTCTTTCACCCGCTTGGTTTATAAGGCCTTCCCCTCCATCCCACCGCTCAGTTTCAAGGGGCAGAGATGCCAGTGGGAGGAGGCGGCTGGTCCCAGCGGCTCCCCTTCACCAAAGAACTCTTCCATCTCCAGCTGCAGGTCCCGCAGGTCTTGGATCTCCTGGGCGCTGGAGTCCAGTTGCCGGAGAAGCGCCAGGTCGGTCTCCTGCAGGCTGAGCTGGGACGGGGATGGGAGGAGAGGGAGGGAGTTATGGCTGGTGGCTTTCATGGGGCGGGGAGAGTTACCTATGAACCCTGGCCCAGGCCTGTCCTAACCGGGCTGCTGGCGTTGAAGGGAAAGGAAGGGGCTGTAATCACGAGGGGTTACTCCCCTCCGCGACCGGGAATTGGGCCGCTCCTGTCGAGCCAATCGCTAGCGGTGAAACCCGCCGGCAAAGCGGGCGCCTCCATCCCCCTCTAGTGGCAGGTCCGCAGAGAAGATAACGGCCTTCTACTGCCGCCAGTTACCCCCTTAGGAATCCGCCGCCGGGGCCCGCCCGCCAGCACCGAACCCCTCCTGAAAAACCAGTCTGAACTCACCAGCTCCTTCCGCACCCACGAGAGCCTGGCCTGGAGGCTGGAGCCCAGAGCGCTGTCCCTTTGGCTGCTTGTCCCACGCGTGTCTAGCGCCTGCTGGTGCTCCCCTGCCGCCGGAGGGCCGTGTGTGTGGGGGGTGCGGAGCGCTTTAGGCAGCGGGGGCAGTCCCTTGAAGAGAGACCCCTCTTCTTCCATCCAGCGGCTTTCGGCCATCGGGGTGCCAGAGGCTGGCCTGGGGTGTCTGGGAAATGGGGAAACCTCTGTTAGAGTCTCCCTGAAACAGGGTCATGCTCCAAAGGGCCCTATCGCAGATGTGGACTATGGCTGCCACCCCTGGCTTTTTGCACAGGGGGTTGCTCTCCCCTCCCAAGTTTTTCTCCTTTAATCCCTCCTGACCACCTCTTCCTTCCGGCCAAGGAGAATGGAGGTGGGTGGCACGCGTCTCTAGCACGTCTCACCCGAGCAGAGCCCTTGGGATGCTGCAGGGAGGGGGAAGAGACAGCGAAGGGCCCGAGTGGGGGGAGCGTGGCCGGGGCTAGAGGGGGAAGCCAGGAGTCGGTTGCGTTTGGTGGGGGATTGCAAAGGAGAAGGCTCTTGCGCCACTGATTGTGGGAAGGGAGGGAGGCGTCCTGCCGGGAGAGGGAGGAGGGGACGGAAGAACAAACCAGCGATTGAACACCGTTCTCCAGCACCGCCGGGGCAGTTGAAGGGACCCTCCTTACCGAGCGAGCGGGAGCGCTACCGAGTGGTTCTCAGGCTCCCCCGAGCCATCGGGAAAGCTGCAGCACCGATTCCCTTCCCCTCTGTCCCACGGAGCTGGGCCTCCGGCGCGGGGAGCGGCTCTAGGCACTGCCTGGCAAAGGGTAATAAACGCGCCAGGCTCCCAGGCATGCAGCGGAGCGTGGGCTCAAAGTTCGCAGGTGAAGCAGCCCGTCCCCACGCCCTTTGGCACGCGGCCACCTGGCTTGCCCCTTCCAGCGACTCCCTCGATCACCCGGGCGGAAATTCCCAGGGGAAAGACCACACACCCTGGGCAGGAAACCCCATTGCCTGCTCCTGGGCCCCCCAACCTGTCTGAAGGGGGCACTGAGTCTGCGCACGTGCTTATAAGAGAGCGCAGGTGGGGCTGCTTCGACCGGCTTTGCTGGGGTTCGTGCAGGGGGTGGCTTGGATGCCCCCCGGCTCAGAGGAGCGAGACGCAGGCCCCTGCCCGCACATGGCACCGGCTGGGGAGCTGGACTCCAGGGGAAACAGAGGCGCGGTGGCCCCACGCTGTGCTGCGTGTCGCCCACTGCACCCCACACGCCCTCCCCCCCGCGAGGCGGAGGGCCCAGCTGCGGGTTGGTGCCGGGGGGCTCCCCCCGTTTGAGAGCCGGGCAGCGGGGCCGTTACCCACCGGCCGGGTGCAGTTGGGCTGCGTGACAGTGGCACAGAGAGCGTCCCACAGGCAGGTGTGTGTGGGGGAAACTGAGGCACGGAGCGGGGAAGCGAGTGGCTCAGAGGCGCACAAGGAGTAAGAGCTGCAAATAGCGCCCAGGGCCCCCCCCCCCCCAGCCAGTGCAGGA